AGAGCGCCCTCGACGCAATCCTCGCGGAGCTCGCCGCCCTGCAGCTTTCCGGCAGCGGCGGAATTGTTAACACGCCGGCCTGGGCGGGCTTCACGACTTGGGATCTTGTTCGCGGAAGCAACGCCGTTCGCAACCTGCATTTCGTGGCTCCTCTCTCTGCTGCGCTGGCCAACGGCGACGACACGCTGAGCATCACAGCCGACTGCTACTCCACGGCGGGCACTGACGCTGCTATAACAGCAGCCTTGCTGACCTACTACACCTCGGCGCAAGTGGACACTCTGTTGGCTGACTACAGAACCGGAACGGCGCAGGACGCCGAGACGACCAGCGCCATCGCGGCGGCTCTGCTGGCCTACTACACCTCGGCGCAAGTGGACGCGCTGTTCTCAGACTACCGCACGGCAAGCGCGCAGGACACGCAGACGCAGGCGGCCATCACGGGCGCGCTGCTGGCCTACCGGACGGGCCCGGACCAGGACGTGTTCGCAACCAACCAAATCACCTCGGCGCTGGTGGCGTACCGTTCAGCCGCCGACCAGGACACGGCGACGGCCTCGAGCATCGCCGCAGGGCTGCTCAGCTACTACACCATCGCGCAGGTGGACGGCCTCCTTGCCGGCAAGCTCCGAGTCACGGAGGCGGCCTCGGCCCTGCAAATAGCCGTGCGCTTTGCGGATGACGGAGGGGCCGACAAGGTGGTGGCCGCCATAGGAGAGCAGATCCTGGGCCCCACGGACGTCTCACTGTCAAACTGGACGGTTCGCCCCAGCAGCGGCTGCAGCGTGGTCCTGGCCACGCACACCGCAGTGAGCGTGGACGGCTACACCCTGACCCTGGCGGCGAACCCCTGGAACATCGTGCGCACCTACAACTTGACCCCCGGCCGAGAGCTCCTCTTCGCCTGCCGCTACCGGCTCGGCACGGCCTCCAACTTCGTGGTGTACATGTCCGAGGCCGACAACGTCTACGACCCCCTGTACGGCAGCTTCGTGGGCGACCAGGGCACCTGGAGCACGGCCAAGATGTACTTCACCGTGCCGCCGAACGGAGGTGCGAAGCTGCACTTCCCAACCAGACGGCTGGAACGGTGGACGGCTACGGCCTCCAGATCCTGGACGCAACCCTGGAGGCCGGCAACACGGTGGAGGAGGAGGCGGCCTCGGCCCTGCTGCTGAAGCACGAGTTCCTCGACGGAGGGGCCGACGACGTCACGCTGGCCACCCTGGGCGAGGTGCTGCTGGAGCCCACGCTCACCACGCTAGGCAATTTTCTGGTGCGCTCCAACAGCCAGAGCTCCGTGGCCTCGGCCAGCTTCACGGTGGGAGGGCTACGCCATGAGCGCCTTCGCCTGGAACATCGTGCACACCTACACGCTGACGCCGGGGAGACGCTACTCCTTCGGCTGCCGGTACCGGCTGGGCACGGCCTCCAACTTGGTGATGTACGTCAGCGCGGCCGACAACGACTACGTGGGCGTCACCGGCACCTTCTTCGGCACGGCCGCGCAGGGCGTCTGGAGCACGGCGCGCCTGGACTTCTCGGCGCCGCCGGGCGGAGTCGCAAAGCTGCACTTCGGAGCCTTCGGCGGGTCGATCCCCGGGTTGGTGCAGCAGTCGGCGGGCACGCTGGACCTGTACAGCATGCAGATCAGGGCCGGAGACCGACCTGCTGGCCGACTCGCTGGCCCTCACGGGCTCGGCCATGCTGGACGGGCTCACCGCGCAGGGCAACGTGGGCTGCGACCAGCTGCTGCACGGACGTGTTCACGACTGGCGTGGACGCCTCGGGCGCCATTTCCTGCGCAGCGCTCACAGCAACCGGCACCGTCGCCGGAGCCACGCTGTCGTCCACCGGCGCCGTGTCAGGCAGCTCGCTGAGCGTCACCGGGGCGGCCAGCGTGGGCCTGCTGAGCTCGGCCACCGGAATCACGGGCAGCACGTTGACCATCAACAACACGGCCAACGCCGGGAACTTCACCACGGTGGGCGACGTGTCCACGGGGACATTGACGGCCTCAGGCGCAGCAACGCTCACGGGCGCCGCGCCAGTCAGCGGGGCGGCCTCCACAGGTCCGCTGGACTGCGAGAGCCTGGACTGCACCTTCACGGCCACGAGCGGTGGAGTGTCGACGGGCAGCGTGGTCTGCGGCGACGTGACGAGCTCGGGCACGGTCTCCGCGCCGCAGCTCTTCGCGTCCAACACGCTCACCGTGACCAACACCTCCGACTTCTCGGACGATCTCTTCTTGACGAAGAACTGGGCGGGCTGGAGCAAGCTGCAGATTTCCAACGCGGCCTCCGACAGCGGACCGGAGCTGCGGCTGCTGGGCAACCAGAGCGCGCGGGTCTTCCTGGAACGGGACGGCGGGGCGCACCAGTGCGAGCTGATCATGATCAACGACGAGGCGCTGGTGCAGACGAAGAGCCTCTCGACGCAGCTGTCCTTGACCACGAACCAGAGGCCGGCTGCCTCGTGATCGCCGGCAACACGGGTAACGTGGTCTGCGACACCAGCTTCACCAACTTGTCGGACAGCCGGGTCAAGACGGAGATGGTCGAGGCCGACCTGGTGGAGCTCAAGCAGCTCTTCGACTCCGTGGAGGCTAAGCAGTACAAGCGCCCGGACATGAACGGGGACCTGAGGCTGGGCTTCGCCTCGGACGACTTCTCAGGAACAAAGTGGAAGAACCTGACGGGAACCGCTCGGTGGAGCGACGGCGCGGAGATGGTCACGCTCGACTACTCTCACCTCACCAGCGTGCTGTGGGGAGTGTGCAAGGGCCTCCAGACTCGCATTGCGGCGCTGGAAAAGGGGAAGAAATCCAAGACGTGATGGAAGCTCTCAGGAACACGACTTCCTAGTCTCGATCGGCCAGGATTGTCACTGAGGGTGAGGATACAGCTGATAACTTTTCTTGAGGATCCCTCTATAGTCGTTTACAGCAGCTAGACTTCGGTCTAGCCAGAAACAGCTAGCTTCGGTCTGCCCAAGATCCGTCAGTTTACGGTCGTGATCCTGAATGGAGTAGGTACTTTCTGTCAGTTCGGCGAGCGCGTCAACCTCAGCTCAACTTCCGACCCGCCATGCCATGATTGTTTTCCGGGCAATTCAGGGTGGTAGGACCTCACGAGTTGAGCACGCATGCTGACTCGCTCGCCACTCTGAACTCTGCACCTCTGAGCAACACAGATGAAAAAAGGCGTGCTTGAACTCTCAGACCCGCTCCGCGAGCACAGTCGTAGCTGCCTGCGCGATCTCGTCGCACAGAACTGCCGGAATGCTGTAGAGCAGTTCGCGGGATTGCCCGCAGACACGCTCGTAGTGATTTCCCAGGAGCCGTGGCCCCCCGCTGCTCTACGATGCCTTCCGTCTACCCACGCATCGCAACGATTCCCAGGCTTACAAAGCTTGCGAGAGGGCCTCCATAGCATATTGGTCCACAGACGCGTCTGCTTGCGATAGGGAGTACCATACTGACAGTATGTGACGTCCAACCAGGGCAGATGTTCCATGAATGAACGGGTCTTTAGGAGACCAGTAGCAGGGTTCTCGATCGCCCACATGACTGGCTATGATTTCGATGGTTCGAAGGACAAGCGCATCGCCTTCGAGAAGTCGGCGAGGTCTCGTAGTCAGTGCTCTAGAATACTCGGTGCAAACGGGCGATGCCCAGATGAATTGAAACCGGGCGAAAAGGTAGCGCGAAAATCCCACAGAAAAATGTCGCAGCGAATGTCGGGTTGGAACTTCGATTCAAGGTCTAAGGAAGTCACCTCCCACCCGGCTGCTCGGAAAGCGCGACCGATCGAAGCTGTCCCGCTGAACAATTCCAACACCCTCGGCATCGCTTTCCCTAAAGAGTTGTGCTACGACCCTCGCCAGCGCAACGCGAAGAGCAGGTGATGCTGTGGGTGATGCTGCAGGGATGCTTGCGCTGATGCTTGCGGTGATGCTTGCGGTGATGCTTGCGGTGATGCTTGCGGTGATGCTTGCGGTCGACTATCGCGACCTGCTAGCGGTGATGCCGCCGGCCAGAACAGGGCACCTGACGGTTTTTTCGGCGTGAATTTTTTAGCATGGTAAATCGCGGCTTATTTTTTCAACACTATTTGTGGCGGCTGTGATGCTAGTGGTGATGCTGGAGTGAATGGCAACGCTAGGGGCATTCATGCGCTTGTTTTTTTTTCATGTAAAACCTTGGAGGCTCATGGAAAAGCTCGATTTTTGATTGAACTATGTTTGCGGGATTTATGTTCACACGAAAAAAGGCAGACTGTGGGTATGCTTGGTGTCATTGCTGAATGTGCCACCAGTGTGCTCAAGCGGTGAGTTGGTTGGCGAACGAACGGCTTCTACAACCACTGCATAAATCGTTGGGCATCGCAACAGCGAGTCGGGGGACAACTCTCATGCGTTTCATTGACACATGCTTGCATATGAGACGCTGTCGCAAGCGCAGAGCACGCTGAGGCTGACCCTGCCTGATGGAGGGGACGAATGAGGAGAAGGGTTTGCGTTTTGAGATAATTACTGTACGCAAGCTACTTTCTTGATAGGACTGGAACTGGAACTGGAACTGGCCTGATTGGGATGATCGACCGCATGAATGGTCGGGAGGATGGGAGGATGGACCAATGGAGGTCATTTTGTTTTTGCTTTCGTGTGTTTGATTGCCATGATTGCGAGGCTTCCGCAGATCCCACCTCGAAGAAGAAATCCAGGACCGATCAGTTGCTTGTTCGATTGCATTTTTCAGAAAGCTTGAGGTTGGAGATCCAGTTGACCCAGGTATCGACCTCCGGCGTTTAACAAGCGCAAGATGGCCCATTTGGAGAAGGCGTTGTCAGTCAAGTTGTCACGCCTCTTGCGCGTGCTTGATTTGAACAGGTGAGCAAGGCTGAGCTAGAGGAGCAGGTTTCAGAGCTTCAGCAGAAGGTTGCTCAACAGGCGAGACAATTAGGCGCATTTCATCGTCAGACACAGCTCGTTTCTGACAGGACATTGAGAAGGCGGTGCTGGAGATCGAGCTTGCGCCCGAAAAGGAGAAGGTCGATACCCTGAATAAGCAGGTTCAGGATCTGTGGGCGGCGGCCCGCGTTGGCAACCAGACGGTCAGCAACCTCTCTGAAGATGTCGCACGCCTTAGCACCAAGCTCCAGTTGCACGAGGAGACTCCTTGAGATGGGTCAAGTTTTTTTTCTTTGAAATTTCCATCCCTTCAGGAAGCCGTTTCAGCCAAGCGTCGCAAGTCGAAGGCCTACTTTCTCATGCACGAGATTGCAAGAGAGCTTCTTGAGTCCTGCAGGCGAGCGAAGATGTCACCTCAACTCCACAGGCTAAGTCACTCCTTTCACACATGTAGGGATTTGGCGGCTATGTTGCAGTCCTGTCAGGCGCCCGACCCAAAATCTCCACTTGTGTGTAAGGCGTGTTTTTACTTCTTTGCGTCAGGCGTGTTTTTACTTCTTTGCGTCAGGCGCTACGCTGTGGACCCTTCGACCCTCCCATTTACAGCGCACCAAAAGGCTGGATAAGAACACTAGTTGCGAATTGTCCTGATGTTTTAGCACGCTTTGCAGGGAAGTGACGGAGATCGCAGCACATGTAGGCAGGATTGAAACTTCTCAGCTTGTGATGGGAGCGTGACAGAATGAGGTTTGCTACTTTTCAACTATGTCAACGAGAAGGTGAAAGGCGTTGCCATGTGTCATGTGACTGAAGATTCCATGAGACACAATGAGGGTAGTTCGTTCGTGAACGCTTTTGATGATCCGCCGTCAGGTGCCTTTCAGGTAGCGATGAGACGCCGCCAGACCTTTCAGGTGAAAACACGGCAGCAGCGTGCTGGGCTTGCGTGGGAGGGGGGAGCGCTGAACAAGCGCAGCGCTGAGCAAGCGCTGTAGGAGTGCCGAACAGGCGCGGTGCTGAGCAAGCGCCAGTAGGAGCGCCGAACAGGCGCGGCGCTGAACAAGCGCCTAGGGTGCCGAACAGGCACGGTGCTGAGCAAGCACCAGCGGATGATTGCCCCAGACCGTTTTTTTTTAGGTCGAGTGGTTCGACTCGCGCGCAGATTCAACCGCTAATTACTTGCAAGGTACGAGGGCGGCAAGACGATTCAGGTGTGACAAACGCGGCGACCTCAGCTTTGTTTTTCCTTTGGAAATGTTGCTCACGCTTCGCTGGGGAGGTTCGCAAGAAAGCCCTGAACTTAGAACTTGTGAGCCTCGCTAGCCTTGTGCTTTTCCATTTTGAGCAGTTTTGCAGATTTGAGTGTCCAGTTTCACAGCTTTTTGTAACCCATGAAATCAGGAAAACAAAGCGGAAGATGAACTGTCCATCGCAGCGTCCAAGATCAATCTATTCAGTCAGAAGGAGAGCTTCGCGCGTGACACAAACTCACCTCACACATTTCCATGTCTCAGCTTGATTCTGCAGGAATGGTGCGGGGGCAGAGAAGATGAAGCTTCGCGGAGACAGAAGGAGAGCTTTACGTATCAACAACACAAATCCATTTTATCCTCACACCTTACAATGTCTCAACTTGACTTTGCAGGAATGGAGAAATTGCCGTCAGCTCTAGCTCTTTTTTTTTCTTGGATAGTTGTGTGAGTGTTCGACATGCGGGAGTGCATGTATTTGTTTGATACCCAATCCGACTGGACAGGTCATCATCGCTACGGTGTCAGTCCTGAGCTCATTCTCTTTTGGATAGTTGTATGAGTGTTCGACATGCGGGAGTGCATCTATTTGTTTGATACCCAATCCGACTGGACAGGTCAGGAACTCATCATCGCTACGGTGTCAGTCCTGACCTCATTCTCTTTTCAATGCGGGAGTGCATGTATTTGTTTGATACCCAATCCGACTGGACAGTTCAGGAACTCATCATCGCTACGGCGTCAGTCCTGAGCTCATTTTTGATCGCGTTTTTTAGACAATTGGTGGTGCTCGATCGCGCGCAGGTGGTAGGCGAGGTCTCCTTCGCACTGGCTGGAATGCTCCCCTAGCTCCATCATCCTCCCTCACCTTCTGCAAACCCCTGACTTGAACTTTTCCTGTCCATCCTTCCAATGTGAACATGGGTCCCATGTCAGTTTGTTCAACGGTTGCGACTCTGTAAAACCTTTCACTCCACGCTGACTCTGTAACCCTATAGGCTCCCCGCTGCACTACCGGCTTGTTCCGCACGCGAACGTAGTCACCCACGCGGATTTCTGGACGTTTAGGCGCTTTGTGCTTGGCTGCGTGTTCCATGTTACGCCTCGCTTCCCGAGCCTTAGTGGAATCGTTGTAGGCTTCGTTTGGAACAACTTTGGTCGTACTCTGTTTTCGAGCGTTAATCTGAGAAATGATGTCAGGTAGCAGCAGGTGCCATTGTCCGCGCCTCCCCACCCCCGCAGCTATTCGCCGTAGGATCGCTTCTTTCAAGGTGCGAATCATCCTCTCAGCAAAGTAGGCGTGACCCCTTGTAACAAGCTTGTTGATGTCCCAATATTCCAAGGCTTCCCTAAACTCCTTTTTGAATTCCGTACCACCGTCGCTGTAGATGTGAGCAGGAATTCCTAGTTCGCTTAAAACCTTCCGAAGACCTTGTGCGGTGTTTGAGGCTTTCTTGTCTTTCAGGGGTATCGCGGAAACTTTCTTGGTGAATGCGTCCACGGCCACGAACATGTAGGGGTGTGGGACTGCTCCAAAAGCTTTCATGTCAGCTAGGTCTATTTGTAGCTGATGCATGGGGAGCGGTGGAACGTAGGAGTTATAACCGCGCTGGGGCCTATCACGTTGGACTCTTAAGCCGTTGATGTATGAAGCTACTTCCTGATCTGTCTCGCGCTCTCGCCAACCTCCAAGTCAAGTCGATGCTGCCAAAGCCGGTGCGAGGGTCCTCGTACACAGCCTTGATAGTTTGTTGGCGAGCATCAGCCATGGTGTTGTTTCCTAAATCAGGAGGTTGTTTGGCTCAAAACCTGACAATGTCTCAGTGTTCCCTTTCAAAGTACCGCACTGTTTTATAAGCACTGACCGAAGTCAGCCCCTTTGCAGTTTCTGGGCAGACCTACCCTTTTGGCAGTTTCTGGACAGACCGAAGCCTAACAGACCGAAGGTTGTTTTTTTTGGCAGTTTCTGGGCAGACCGAAGCCTGCCCTTTAGACCGAAGTCCACCATTTGACTGTTTCTGGACAGACCGAAGCCTGCCCTTTTGGCAGTTTCTGGGCAGACCGAAGCCTGCCCTTTAGACCGAAGTCCACCATTTGACTGTTTCTGGACAGACCGAAGCGTGGCGTGTTGGCAGTTTCTGGCTTTAGACCGAAGTCCACCCTTTGACTGTCTGGGCAGACCGAAGTCTACCCCTTTGCGGTTTGGACAGACCGAAGTCTTGGGCAGACCGAAGCTAGCTGTTTCTGGGCAGACCGAAACCTACCCTTTAGACCGAAACCTACCCTTTAACTGCTTCTGGGCAGACCGAAGCCTGCCCCTTTGTGGTTTGGACAGACCGAAGTCTTGGGCAGACCGAAGCTAGCTGTTTCTGGCTAGACCGAAGTCTAGCTGCTGTAAACGTGTATCCTCACCCTCAGTGACGATCCTGGCCGATCGAAAGTCGTGTTCCTGAGAGCTTCCATCACGTCTTGGATCACGACCGGAGCTGACGGATCACGACCTGGCGGATCACGAGCGGAAACTGACTGATCACCGAAAAAAATTCGCGAGCGCTACCGCGGGTCCTTTTGCTCCGTGCAAGGGTGACCGAAAAAAATTGCGAGCACTACTGCGGACCGTAAACTGATGAATCACGACCGAAACTGATGGATCACGACCGTAAACTGATGGATCACGAGCGAAACTGATGGATCACGACCGAAACTGATGAATCACGACTGTAAACTGATGGAACACGACCAAAACTGATGGATCACGACCGTAAACTGATGAATCACGACCGAAACTGATGGATCACGACCGCAAACTGACGAATCACGACCGAAACATCACGACCGCAAATTGATGAATCACGACCGAAACTGATGAATCACGACTGTAAATTGATGGAACACGACTGGAAACTGATGGAACACGACCGAAACTGACGGATCAACCGAAACTGACGGAACACGACCGGAAACTGACGGAACACGACCGAAACTGACGGAATACGACCGGAAACTGCCGGGACGCTACCGGAACAAGACCGTCAAACGCGAAAAATCGAAAGCCTGCGCTGCGACTTGCTGAGATCTGCAGCGCGACCCCGTTTCGAGACGGTCCTGCAGAAAACGCGCGGAAGTTCGGCGAACCTAGCAACGCGAAGCGGAAAACGACAACCCGAAAATAAACTGACGACCAGGTGGGGCTTGAGACCCCCCTAAACACTCTCTGGCACCGGCTAAGGCACCGGTTGAGGCACCGGAGGCGCCTTAGCTCACAAGAGAGCAGCAGCGCGCCCTGCGCATGCTGGAGAGGCAGTCGGCTTATGACCGGTTGACAACAGGCGCAAGCGTACTAGTGTGTAAGCATGATGTCTATTGAGCCCCGCAACAAGCCGCGGATGCTCCAGTGGTTCCGCAAGACGTACCCCAGCTACAACCTGCAGCCGCTGCTGAAGCGCTACCGAGAACTGGAGAAGGCGCGGGCCTTCAACAATTGGCTGGGGGAACGCAGGCAGGCGCAGGAGGGGCAGCGGCGCCTGGGCGACGTAAGCCGGCTGACGGAGGCCGTGCACCGCCAGGTACCCCAGCTGCGCTACGCGCGCGCCGAGCGCCGGGGCGTGGAACGGGCGGCGGGCGAAGTTGCGCAACAGTAAATGAAGACGCTTCGGGCGCACGGCTTCAACCAGCGCCCGCGCTTTGAGCAGGTGGTGGGCTACCTTAAGCGGAATGAGCCGCTGCCCCTGGACCAGCCGGACCGCAAGGCCACCTTGTTTGTCACAAGCCATTTCTACCTACGATTTTGTACAGTCCAGCAAGGACCCCAACCCCCGGCCCTGCAGCGCAAGGCCACGGACGAGGACCCAAGGCTACGGCGGAACCCGCTTTGTTGAGGATGACCTGGCAGGAGACCCCGAGGCCGGCGCCCTGGCCAGCAACGGTAAGGGGCCGCCCTCCATCACGGAACGTCTGCGCAGCACGGCCGACGGCGCTCAGGCGGCAGCGAACCTTATAGGCGCAGGAGCGGCGGGGCGTGC